TTTGATTCTAAACCATGGTTTGATTGTCTCATTTGCTCCCCTGTTTTTGTATGTATTTTAGAAAAATACCCATCAGTATCACATCAGTGCTGTGTAGCGTTCACACAGGAGTCTGATGCAGGTCACATTAAAAATGTAATATGAACGTTCACACAAAAAGATCGGATTTTTTCAAAAAATCGAAACTGAGCATTAAGACCTGCAGTGTGAACGTAGCCTTAGATGTTTCCCTGCTTCAGCACAGCTGATTTCAATTGGTAACTGATTAGCAGGCTTTTGATAAACTGCAACCATCTGAATCAAGTGTGTTAAAGCAGGGAGACCTCTGAAACATGAGGGCAGCGTGTCTTGAGGACCAGGGTTGAAAAACACTGCTCTAACTTTCCATTAATATGTTAATTAATATTTTTTGTTTTTTGATTATTATTGCTTGAAATCAATTATGGAAAAAGGGGCAGATATTATAAGATTTTTTTCTTCTTTCTGCCTCCTTTCATTTCAATTTGGATTTGTATATTTTTTGTTGTGTACAAAAAATGTTTTTTTTTGTCTTTATCTTTGTTGTAATTTCTAGAAAAAGCAAACCTACACCTAAAAGACATTATTTTTGTATTAAAAATGAATAGCTAYGGTATATTTTACAAGGCACAAAAAGTCAATCCTAGCAAAAAATTTTGTGAGTAGCCCCATCTGTATAACCTTCGAGTGGCTTTAAATGAAGGCTAAGCCTCTATAACAATTACTCACTTCTGTTACTTGATTTCCAATTTTCCTTTAGATTTTGATCAATTAACACTTAGCCCAAGTCAGTGAAAAGTTAAAACATTTTTTATCAAGTCAACAATGACTGGCTGACTGCATGTGTATGTCTGCATGCATCTGGGCTTAATTTGGTGCAACCTTAATTACGTGATAGGGATTACCGGAAAAGGGAAAGCCACCCACTCATCACCATGTCTTCCTTCACAGAGGGTATCGCGGAGAGTCCTGAGGCATTTTCTTCCACTGAACAGACAAAGATTTCCCTGTTCACAGCCTCTTTGCAGGCACTTCACACTCAGCACAAGGTGGAAGCTACTTTTTTTCACCCTCCAGCGCTTCCAGCTCAATGCTACAGAGGCTCGTGACAACCAACATTAGAAAGTGATAACTAAATAAACACCTAACAGGAAACATAAAAAAGTTAATACACTTGCAGAACAAACAGAGGCAGTGGTGATAAAAGTAACACCTTGCAACACACAGATTAAGTTAGCTGGCTAATACAGAAGAGACACTGACGATGCCRATATTGGTCAACATTTGTTTACACCACTAAATATACATTTAGTCAGTGAGGCAGACAGCAAATTCTTGTTTATCACACACTAGACAGAACGCGCATTGACTGCCACTTTTTCACAACTTCTTTGAATGAGGGTGACACATTAAAATTAATATACAAGAAAACTGCTTGAAACAGAATCCAAAAAAATAACAAGAGTGTGGTGAATCTGCAAAATTCTTAAAGGTTTGGTATYATTTGTCATGACTCATTAGATAAACTGCTTCATGATTTTCTGGCTACCTTATTTTAACGCAGATATCATTACATGTGAACTGAATATGGTAAAAATCCACTATCCAAAGYCTGTCTTACTTTCTAGAACACAAGAGAAGATATATTAAAGTTGTAGGGATCCCATCAACAAGCAGACACACCCTGACCAGAGTTGGGAGACCAAATAGGCCCTGGCCTCACCACAAACACTGAAGCATCTCTGGCTTTAATGATGGATGGATACATATTTAAAGCAAGAAGAATGAGAAGATTAAAAAGAAGGAATAAGAAGGTTTTGTTAACACAAGAACAGTGAGTCACTGAGTTCTGCAGTCTTTATTTATACTAAAGAGAAATTGAGGTTTTTCRATGGCACTTAACGTAAATTGGTTTCTCTTCTGATAAAAGAAACCCTAAGAGCTGCAGACTCTCAATCATCCATTATATACAATGCAACGCAGGGCTTAAGAGGCTCTAATAATCCCATATCCATGAGCAGTAAGGAGAAACATAATGATCCACCTCTGAACAAAATTGGGTGATGTAACACCTCCACAGTCTGGYCTCCATTGAGACAACATATTGAGACTTGTGCTAAACCTCAACAAAGAAAAAAGGAAAGCCAACTAGGCAGTAATAAGGATATTATTATGCATAAAATCCAATTGTAATGTTTTGTAGCAGGAAAAATWGTTAAATTATCCAGAAGTTTTTAGTGTAGAAAATGAGTTTGTGTTTTTTTAACTTTACCATTTTGAATATATTGAGGCAAGAATAAGAGGTTCTAAGCTAACTTAAAGTGACACTATTGGTTCCTCTTGGATATTTCCCTAGAACTATACAAAACACACAGCAATGAGTCTAAATATAACAAAAAACAAATAATTTCCTGTGCTTGTTAACCAGACAACGACATAAATCAAAGAATGTAAAGTAAACTGAGAGTTTTTTGTCTGGCTTTCTTTGCTAAGCAAAACTGTAATATCTAGCAGTCTTTCACATAGTTTTCTAAAGCAGCACAAGGGGTTGTCTGGAAAACCATAACAGGCAATAGCATCCTGATGCCCTTGCTCTTGGCTAGATGATGTTTGACAGAATATTCCCTGAAAATCTTCGCAGCAGTAAATATGCCCGTTTGGATTTTTTTTCTCRTGCCTTCTTTGAATGTCATCACCCATCCTCTGTTTCTTCTGCACTGTGTCTGATTKTAAATGTTCTCTTTCCATATCTAAAACCCACCAGCCTTTTCAAGTCCTATTTTTGACTATAATCTGACCTTGACAATCTGACTATCTCAGCCAAACACTGCAGGATAAAAAGAAAGATAAAAGCACACAAACAACTCCTTCTAACTAATCCTCATATCAAACAACTGTTTTTACGGAACTGGATTCACTTGTGTCCAGAATTTGGACAAAGAGTCGGTTTTGATCTGTAATATAAATGTCTGGAGCATTTTGTTTGATTTATCCGAGAGGCCGGATTCACCTACACAGAGTGAAGGCCTCATGTTACACAGAGATGGCGAATATGGCCAAAGTCATTTCCTCTGTGCATGCTCATATCCTAATGACAAACCAATCTTGACATGTCAAGGACAAAATTAAATTGGAAACAGAAAAGATGACCAAGTATCGCGAAACAACTAATTGTGGTGAACGCAACGCTTTCATGTGTTATTCAGCCAAAACTTGAAAAAGACCAATAAGCCAATAAAAGGAACTATGCAAACATCAGAGAGCCACGTAGTGTGACATAAAACTGCAGGATCTGTGCAAGAAGTGAGAGGAGAAGTAAGAGTTGTGGGATGCTATTCTGTACAACTGTTTTGGCCTGCGGTATGTGTGCATCCGTGTGTAATTCTGACCTGAGAGATGTGGTTGATGGAGGACTCCATGCGCCGCAGCTGCGAGGCCTGGATGTCCAGCAGCTGCAGCACATTATTGGCTAAGGCATTGATCTGGTAGGCCACGCTGGCCAGGGACTGAGTGGTGTAGGCTTTGGTCTCCTCCAGCGCTTTCCTCTTGTCCTGGGCCTGCATGCAGAAGAAGAAGAAAAACTTTGTAAGACAAGATGATTTAAAATATTGAGAAGTTGAAACCAATTACTCCTGATATTACAAGATAAGTTTGTGGTGTGTATTTATGTCAGTTTTGTGGATGCTTTAGGCCACCCAATCAGGCAGGGCATCCAGCTGTCTCCCAGACTCTCATTCCACAGATACCACGCTCCCTGTGAAGGAGCTTAGATGATGTAAATAATCCTTCAACCACCACAGAGAAGCTTAAAATAAACACCTAACAAATGCAGTTCAGGATGACTTGATTTGTCTTTTTATTTTTCAAAAAAAAAAACTGGTAGTGACAAATCAAAGTTAAAGACCAAATTGCACAGCCGAACTGTACACAACTTCTGTTAGAAAAGCAAGACTCTGAAATTCTGTTTATAACTACATGCTTTATCAGATCTGTCAGCATGGAATTTGAAGTAGTTTTAGAAAAAAAGTAAAGATTCTAAATGTTGTCTTATGAAAACACTCAAATTTGCAACAACAACAAAAAAAACGTTCATTATAGTTCTTAAGAGAAAAAAAATGAAGAATTCAATAGACAGGTCAGAAATTTACAGAAACTGGGATTAAACTAGAAAACTGCGATCGGTGCATTTATATTAAGAAATTTCAAGCCTGAAGGCAATAGACATTTAATGTTAATGTGCAAGGTTTATTAATTAAAACTTAAATGAAAATACAGAAATGGTTTAAACACGTTTAAGCTGGTTTRCAAAATAAACTTCTCTGCTCGATTAGGCTGCAACACAACAGCAACAATTCAGTTTAAGACAACCTAAATACAACCTGCCACTTACTGGATTATTATATTCAAAACCTATGCTTTTTTAAAACTTGTTGACATCCATGATTGCATCAAATGCATTTTGTGGGAAAGTAAGAGTTGTTAAATTTATCAGCTCCTGTCACACATTAAAACATGTAAATGAAATGACAGCATTCTGATTGTAGAAACATAACTGGATCAATCCTGATGATAATCCTGAGACTGCTCTCAGAGGACTGAAGCTGAGGTTTGCGACTTATGATCTTTGTGTACTCTGTCCTCTGCTACTCCCTCATAAAATCAATTCCAGAAAGCTCTGCATGGAGGTCCAACACAGGCCTTTGATATCGGGCTGTTGTAGCAGGAGGTGGGTGGAGCTAGAAGTAGCTGAAGAACCGATCACTGGTGATAACAGTAAGAGAGCAAAACAAGAAAACCTGACGAGATGATGCTAATCCAGAATMTAGAAACGGCCAAAAGATCTGCTTTGCTGGCTGACCTCAGCTGGGTGACAACATAAAAACAACAGCTGTGTTTCTTTGTAGGAATCAATGCAGGAGACATCTTAAGCAACCACAGCCACAGGAAGAATAAAAGATTCCTCTGCAGAGCTTAAAGCAAAAGCCTGTCTACTGCAATCGCATAATCACTCGTGTACGCTCCGCAGCATTGTGGAGCGTTAATGTAACAGCTGGATGAAAACAGATTAAACAATTAAAAACACGCTTGATGTTACATCCCTGGTGGCATTTTCTAAACCGTTAGTGAGTGCAGTTTAGCTGCATAAGGAGATTTCAGACTGATAAATTCATGCTTACCTGTGCAAGACTACAGGCTTACATATCAATCAGAAATAACTTCAACTTGCTTTATTCTAGATTAGAAACAGCAATTATTCGATCTTAAAGAAAAAAATGAATATAAAAACAATTTGTAAGGGGATGAGGACGTAATTTTAACATTTATAAATCAGTAAGATTAGCTCAATTTTCTCTTTGWGTTATGTTATAAATGTCTGAGACGGCTTCGTCAGCTTGTTTAGATTAGATTTGATGTTGTAAAATCTGGTTTTAAACATGGTTTCTAAAAGGACTATTGAGAGTCAACCCCTCTTCCATTGCCTTACTATACAGATTTACCACTACAGWGAAGTCAGACTGATTTGTTGGGAAAGCCAAATGGCAATGGCTGCATCTGATATTTTCCAGTTCACAAGGTTAAATCCTTGAGATTATCAAACAACATCCAGGGCTACAAAAACACATTTAATCAATTTCATTAAATAAAGGAAGGATTGTACATTTCTTACATTTTTTTTTTTGAATTTTTGATTGAACTAAGCTGCATTTGCTTCCAGAGCTGTGTTGCGAGGTCAGAAGTGGGTGTTGGGAGGACAGATGTGACTCCTGATTGCAGCATTAGAGCCTCTCGCTCCGGTTACATGCCCTGGTCATTCATTCATCAGCCCACACATCACATATCGGCCATCCACAAATCTAACTAAACCGATTTGCTGCCAAGTTACTTGACAAACGGTTCTTACATCCGTCTCTGCAGCAACACCACTGTAGGAAAGTGGTAAAAAGGTTTAAAAAAAARGGAAAAAAAAAAGAATGAGCAATACAGGAGATGTTTGAGAAAGAAAGAACAAAGTGTGTGCTTCGTCAGCGCCAAAAACAGAGAGCCGAGTTTAATCCACCGCAGCAGGAGACACTTGAGGTGAGCTCCAAGTGAGCCTTAGTGCTCCTGAGGCACTTTATCTCATATTTCTGAGCTGAGTAATGACTGAGCGAAGGAGCTTACAGAAAACTCCAGGTAGACTGGCTGTCAGCACCTTAGCAGTGTCTTAACAGAGGAATGCATCAMAATAAACATGGCGCTGAGGTGACCAGGACAATCAAACAGCTGCAGGAATGCAGCAAAACATTTAGGCGACGTGTGACAGTAAAATGTTTATGAAACATCTCTAAAGAGCTGCATGCATGCAGACATAATTATTTTTTTCACACAATAAAAGGGAGTTGCTGCTCCATGACGCAATGTCATCCATCCAGTCTGGGAAGATAATGGTTCAAAGTGAAATCAAGTTGTTGTTTTTTTAAACAAAGCATTGCATTTCCTATTCTGGTCTGACCAGTTGGACAGAGAAGCTACTAAAGATTTAATTCTTATTCTATACCCAACGAGAAGGGTGAGTAGAAAGCTGGAAAATGTTGCTACAAGATGACGTCGACAAAAATATTCAAAACATAAAATTATTCAAAATATAAATATTCAAAATATAAAATAAAATATATAATCAACATTCATTAAAGGCAGTGTAGGATTTGTTTTCAGCGACATGTAGTGGTTGAGTGGTTGAATCATCCTCCCTGGTCCTCCCCCCACCCCCACCCCCCGCTTCCAAACACAAAGGAGTTGCTACGGTGTCTCTCAGGTGTCAAAAACCTTTGATTATTCTAACCACGATGTCTACCAGCAGCTTCAGGGCTAGTGATGTTTCAAGTGGTAAGATTATGAGCTTTAATAAGTAAAATTATCCCAGCTACAATGACAAACAAATATTACATTTATAGTATTACAACTAAAACCGTTTTTGACGCCGCCACCGCAGTTTGTCCTTCATGAGCCTTCGTAGACAAGATGGCGGTGCAAGATGGCGGCTGCCTGTAGTGGCGACCCGTGACCATGGAGATATAAACAGCTGTTTATAAGGTAAAAAATAATAAAACAAGGTCTTTGTCTGCAATGTTTAGACATGATTTTTATTATTGTCATTAGTGATTATCTCAATTTCGGCTAAAAGAATTGACAAAATCCTACATACTGTGTCTTTAAACACTGCTGAATTATCTAACTGAGACCAGTGACGGATTCTTCTCAGGCTTTGAAATAAAGAAGCTGAACTGAAGATTCAAAACAAGTTGGAGCAATCTGACACTAAAACAACATTACAGACTTTCTACTGTTCACTCAGCTCTGGATTAGCACAGCAGCTGAACACAACTGAGTGTTCCCAAGCAGCTCAAAAAGTTCAGGAATGTTTGGAATTCTTGACATTAATCTTGACAATTTTCTACAAACTTCTAAGAAGTCCCGACACTGAGCTCAAGCGTCATCCCTAACAGCGATCTCCTCCTCCTCTTTTTAAAAACATAAAAAGAAAAAACTAAACCCTCATCAGGATCAAAAGGTACTGGATTAGGCAGCTTTGAGATGGGTGTAAATCCAGCTGAAAGGTCGCAGGGCCCACATGGTGCTCCACTCCCTGTGATGTATCGATCACAGCAGGATGGATGAGGTGAGATAAAGGGCCGCAGCTCTGCGGACTGCTGTATCAACACGAATCTCCGGCATCCAGCAGCTGCTTGACTGTAAGGTGGAGCCCACTAATGAGATTACAAGACAGACATGTTTAAGACCTGACCAAGTGTAGGACATGCCCATTTCCTGACCATTTAGTTCCTCCAGCCAGCGTAAACAGTGATATATTTTTCAACTAAACTGAGAAGAAATCTCCATTGGCAATCACAAACACTAGAAATATCTTAGTTATTTGTGAATTCAGCCAATGAAAGGAACAAGTGTACAACTTATTACCCAATATGCTGTTGTTAGTGCATACAGGAAGCAATGTTATTGCTTAAGTCAAAACTGTGTGACGTTTCTCACATCATATATTTTTATCTTTAACGGTTCAGATGCTGCCATTTCCCACTCAGTTTTACAGAGCTCCAGCAAATTGTCTTAATAAAATTCACATTTATATAGCACAGAAAGCACTTGACCAGGTATGATTCACTGCGACTTCACCATAGGTCATTATCCTATAAAATGTGGCTGCAATATATTAGAAACACTTACAATGTTTGTTATTGCAACGATGATATCAGTTGCAATAAATCTATATTTTCCTCACTTTTTTCTCCTGTCATCATCCAAACCAGGTGTGGGTATAAAAGCCTCAGAGTCCRTTGAGTTTCTAAATGTATTAGCATGCAAAACATGAATGCATGGTACTTGAAATATAACGGTCTATGATTTATTGCAGTCCAAGTCCTTTCTATTATTAATACTGCACTTAAYGATATTGCGATGATGATAAATTTTCCATACGCTGGGCAACTATGCTGTATATTTTGAAAGAACAATGTGAAAATATATATCAACAACATATCTTAAAAGGAGCGGAAAAATC